ATACTCCCCCCACCCGCAATAGAAGATCCCGGATTTTCTATTATGTTCAAGCGTAAAAATTTTTCAGGGGGATCTTGTATTATGTCTCGTATTTTTTTACAATTTTTAATTAAAAAGATTTTTCTGAAAAGTGGGGCGATTTTTAGGATCTTAAGAGCTCAGATACAATTTTCAACTCATTTTTAAAGATTTCAGACTCAGAACTCTGAAAACTAGGCATATTTTCATTTAAATACCATAATTAAAGTTCCTAATTACCAAAAATTAATTAATTAAAGGGGGTTCTTCTATTACATCAGGCGAACTTTTTTCTGAGATGGATCTTCTATTGCGGGGGGGGGGGGGGGGGAAGGAATAAGTTGTTAGGCACTTCCACGAACACAGTGCCGCGGCCTTTGTGACAGTCTTTGCCGNTCAACACATTATCACATGTACTGTTAGAATAACAGAGTTCGATGACAAATAACACACAGAAGATTCGCCATGATATTAATCGACAGTTATGAAATCATAACATTTTGTGACAATATAAGAAGCATTCGGCCTGAATAATCAGCAGTGTGACATATCCTGCAATTTGGAGAAGTGCTCACATCTCTGCCGGGAGATGCTGCATTTTCAGCAGGAGATGCAGCACCCAATGTGAGGGATGCACATCTCTCAATGAGATGATACATCTCCAACAGCAAATCACCGCATCTCCCGAGTGTGGGTGCCGCGTCTCCTGCGGAAGATGCCGCATCTCCTGTGGGAGAAGTGAGCACTTCTCCAAAATCTTAGATATATGACACCACTCATAGGGTGGATATAGAAGAGTATGAACTAATTGGATTCTAAGTTTAACCAAAACTCAACAGTATATGATAGATTTCATTGAGAGAAGAGATAGTGTGGTTAGAACCTTACTGAACCATTAAGCTAATGTATATAGCAAGCTAATATGGTGGTTGAACCAACGAAACGAAGAATAAAATGATATTTGCTAGTTCTTATAACATACATCGTATATATTAACATTAGAAGAAAAGAATTGATATATTGAAGATATATCTGACAATACAAATAAGTTTTTTTAGTATAACAATGTTAAATAAATCAAAGAAATTGATAGAATTGTGATAATAAATGGAAAAATTTTTGAAGTTATAGAATTTTACAGCGCGCATATTGATTATAAAAATAGCTATCACTTTCATTTTCCATTTATTTGGCATTTTTCAAATAAACTCTTTTAGTGCCCCCTGATAATATATCATAAACTTAGAACAATCAAAGTTTGTGGGTTCGGTACTTTGACCTGTGATGAGATCGTACTCACAAATTTTACCATTTCTTTGCCACACAACAATGGTGATCGATCAATAGCATATTCATTTTTTGGCTACGATTTTTGATATAATCCAATATATTAAAAAACACGATCATCTATTAGATAAATATCAGTAATCATTCAACTTTAATTAAATGCTTAATTGACCTTGTTAATAAGTTTCGCAATCGAACTAAATTTTCAAATGCTTGATTTCGTTAACAATGAATCGAACAAAGACAAATGAGAAAACAAAACAATACTCATCTTCAATGATGTATATAATATGCAATCTTTGATGAAGTTGAAATCGTCATTCTAAACTAGAGGTAAAAATATACGGTTTCAGTTAACTGATCATCGACGTCATCGATAAAGTATTCACTGAGTACTGACTACACTGCACCGACGTCACTAAGACTATGACTAAACTGACACTGACACTGAAACTCATTGAAACACCAACGTTCACTCAACACTCAGGGTGTGGGTGTGAATGTGATTGAAATGAATACTGACCTTCACAGTCAGACACACTCATATTCACAGCCGCACTCTCTCTTACACCTAAATCCACACCTGGATCTACATCCTCCATCACTAATGCATATCGTGCTTTATGACGATAGACAAGTAGGTTGTTTGGAACCTTTGTCCTTTCTTAGATGCATACTACCAAGCAATATAAGGAGACTGGATGGACAGCATACAATGCGGTACACCTTTATCTTCGTACACGAATATAAGTAACATCACGAATAGTTAAAACTTTTATTCGAAAATGAGAGGTATTTAAATTGGACGAAGTAAGATGAAAAAGACATCAGATACTTTCTCCTCTCTTTTCCAACTGCCTGATATGATTTATCGAATGACAAGATGGAAAGGGCAATATCGAAGGCAATCGATTTCATTCTCCAATTACGCCATTGAAAATTAAAATGGAACAATGAACCAGGAAAATGGTCAGCAAGGAAGAGAGCATGAAATAAGAGATAAAATTTAAAAAAATAGAAAATGCTAGACAAAACAAAATGCATATTATATGGAAATAGTGAAAGGATAACTCAGTTATTCGCTAACAGAATATCACGTTGAACAAAATCAGCTATAAGAAAAACATTGGAAACTACTAAGTTGCCGCACTTTCACACAATAATAACCTGATGTGAATTCATATTTTCCATCCGTGAGATATTATACTATTGTATACACAAATAGTACTTTGTGATAGTTAGCATTGGTGTATCAGCATTCTACTGAACGTCGATATCAATGTAGAGAGTGTTCGGTGAACACTTCGCTGGTGAAATGAGTGCCAATTTTTTCAGTATTTATACCGAAACTGAACATTCCTAACTAGAGGTGAAAGTTCATGCACTGATGTGGAATGGCTGCTAGAAATCTCTGATATCCCAACTGTGAAAGATGAAATTTCTCGATGATGTTTTCAAACGCCCGCAAATTTTGAAATGAAGAAATAACACATGATAACGCAGAACGTAGTAACAAGAAACAAGACAGAAATATTCATGAAAACTGATGCTACTTATGGAAATTTTTCAAAAATATAATATCTCTCTTTTTGTTGTAGCGACGACGACTCACTAGATCGACTTACATGTCTAATTCCAACATAATTCACATGCATATTTTTCAAATCTCTACAGAAGAATGTCATCCGAGATACGTTATGTAGTGTTCATCACTATTTAAACAACTAGGACGATCACTTCTACCATCGGAAACAACGTATTAAAAGGTCAGAAACGATTATAAAGTGACTTATTATTGCATTTAATTCCATGGTATTTTGTCTTAATTCGTCATCCTACTTTTTACGCTGGAAAACGGTCATCGTTTTACCTACCGTTTCCTGTTGTAACAGATTACAACAACGTAATGGCACCAATTTTCACTATATTACATTGTTAATGATATTTAACGACGACGTCTTCTTGAATTTGGGAATTACTCAAGATTTCGTACAGTTATTTTCATATTGGATTAATGATATCAATTGATCCAGATTGATTTCAAAGATGGTAGTTTATAACTTGACGAGGAGAAAATGGATCTAATCTATGAAATCTCTTGCTATTTTTATCATTTCACTTATCACGAGTAGTCAAGTACATTAGTGTGGAATTGATGAACGTGTTTCATGTCAAAGAATATTAAATATCAGTTAATCGAGGAATATTCGAAATGTTAAAATTAAAAGAATTATTTTCTTTCATATTAGATAGAACGAACAATCTTACAACTTATTCATTAGATGAAATAATATTATATTAAAAACTATGAATTGTTACCTTGTATACTCAATTTCACGAAGACAAGGAGAACATATGTTATTATGAAATCTAATCCCAATTTTCTTGTTCTCATGTAAAACAATAGCTCTCTTTTATCTTACGAAGTTAATATTTGTTCATGAATGTCAACCTCAGAATAAGAATTGATTGCACATCAGAAAAAATGCAGCAGATATTTTATATGACACCTAAAACAAATCATTGAAGAACTTAATCTTAACAATGTCAATATTAATTACATTTCTTACATAAGATTTGAATTCGTTGAATTCGTTGAATTCGTTTTATTTTTTCTTTCAACAACGAAATAAAAATAATGGTTTTATAGAGAAGTTTAATTAAAAATGTTGTTCTTGTTTATTTCTATAGTTGAGCATTCCTTTGATAAGTATTCGTCAACAATTAACTTGCATTATATTATTGATCGTTCAATTAATAATCTGTATTTTTCAAATGATTTACGAATCAATTTTATTTCGACTTATTTCACTTATTTTGTACAAATAGAAAAAAAATCAAATTGCGAAGTTTTGTGAAACATAAAAATAGAATTTTTGCGTTTCTTTATTGTCTTACTATTTGTTTAATCAAATCATTTCGATTAACTAGCATATATTTAAATGACGCAATAAGAAATCTACGGTTAACATATTACGAAATGAAATAGTAAAACAATCATACATCATAAAACCTAGCAACACTGTTGTTATTCACCGTTAGTTCTCAATTATTTGTGCATAGATAATTGCGAATATCATAAACATTCTTTCAATTTTCTCATAGATTAATTGCCATTAATTTACGTATAAAATCATAAATTCAAATACTGAACCTTCAAACTACGTACGATAAATATCAAATCCAATTCAACGATGTTGTGAAATAAGTTTGTCTTTAGTTTTAGAGATCATTTTGGCTTATGCCATACCGTAGAATAATATTTCTTTACGAATGAAAAAAAAATTATTTCGTCATGCACATCATTCGTTGAATGATCTACGTATGCGTAAGTCTTCTTTCCAATTAAATATGATGAATAATACACAACTGATGATTAATGCATCGTATCTTATTGATCAAAGAGCTTTTGGCAATATTTTTTAGTTGCAATCAATGTTTACTTTCCTTTATCTGTTCTGTGAATTGTATTTATTATATTTTGTAAGAGGTCCGTATGCACTTTTTCGTTTGACATGATTAACATTTTTCTTCTATTCGTACAATCTCAATAACCAGTTGTTTTTATGCTGCCACATATGCGCAATAAAAGAAGAAAAAATATCTAAAAGAAAAGAAAGAAAGAATTTTTTTTCCTCAATCCATCGTCATTTTGAAGAAAACCAATTTTACATACAACGCACAACAACACAATCATGCGCGCTTACTTAAAAATTGCCTTACTCGTTTTATTCATTTGCGCTGTATCAAGCAAACCAATTTCAACATCTTCGAATGAAGAAAATAACAATGAAATACAGCAAGAAGCAAATCGTGATTTAGATGAACTTTTATCTTTAAGTCGTCAAAACTATTTACTAGATGATGACAACGACGAAAAAACTGATACTCAACCTGCACAAGTAGAGAGTGAATCGGATGAACCAAATATTCGTGATGAAAATGATGAGGATGAAATAATTGACACTCAACCTGTAGAAGCAGAAAGTGAATCGGATGAATCAAACAATAATAATGATGATGACGAAGACGAACCGATGAAAGAAGTTCGAAAGAAACGTCAAATAGAAGATGACAAAAATACTGATACTCAATCTTCAGAAGCAGAAAGTGAATCGGATAAACCAAATAATGGTGACGAAAATGATCAAGACGAAACAATTGATACTCAATCTGTAGAAGCAGAAAGTGAATCGGATGAATTAAAAAATAATAATGATGATGACGAAGACAAACCGGTAGAAGAAGTTCGAAAGAAACGTCAAATAGAAGATGACGAAAATACTGATAGTCAATCTTTGGAAGTAGAAAGTGAATCGGATGAATCAAAAAATAATAATAATGACGAGGAAGATCCGGCGGAAGAAGTTCGAAAGAAGCGTCAAATAGCAGATGATGACAACGATGATGGTAATGACGATGACTTATATAACACTAATGAAACAGGTGAAACAGAGCAAGCTTCTCAAAATGAACCAGTATATGATCAATCAAATGACGAAAACAATGCAGAATCGAACAATATTAACAGTGACAGCCAATCGAATGAAATCATTGAATAAATATTTATCGAACATGCTTTGGTTTTTTCCTCAAAGTAAATTTTTCTTTTTAAAACACGAAATAAAGCGATAAAGAAAAGATCTACTGATGAATTTTGAAAGCGCCCTGAGTACAGCAAAAGAAAAGAAATTAAATAAAAACAAAAAAAAAAGGATGGTACAGAAAAAAACCATGTTCAAATAAAATATTGTTGATGTTCGTACTAATAAAACATACAAGTATTTTATCTTAGTGCACTCATTGATGTACTTGCACGTTGACTACTTGATGATGTCTGTGGTTGATGTTGAATTTGATGAACAAGATGTTGTACAACACCACCTGCTACTTCTCCACGATTTATTGAAGTACCCATTTTATCTGTTGATTGTTGTTGAGCAGCACGAGCAGCTGCTGCTGCTTGCTGTTGCATATGAGTTCTAAGATCATATCGATGACGAGCAAAACCACCAGCAATATGACCTAGATTTATGAATGTATTAAAAAAACAATGTAATATAAGTACACAATAATTTATATACCTTGAGATGCACTCGGTTGCAATGAAAACTGTTCAGGACCACTAACACTTTGTCCAGTTGTCTGATAAACGGCATCCATACCAGGTGCATACGTAGCATCCATCTATATAAAGATTAGTTTGAAAAATTTTCGAACAGAAAAAAACTTTACTTCTTTATTATATTGAGTATGATCCTCAACATAACTTTGATAATCATCATAATTGCCTACTCGTGCTACTGGGGATCCAACACCTGATTTTGATGAATGAAGAGTTTTCATCTATTATTCGTAGAAATACAAAAACCAAGTTGTAAATTCCTATTTACTAATTTTTCTTAACACTAGACTTACTAAATATATTGCAATCATTGCTCCTAAACCAAATCCAACTGCTACATCTTCCCAATGATTTTTATTACTTGCTAAACGTACACCACCGGCTACTATCGATAATGTAATAATTGACAAAATAAGAAATGGTTTAACAATTCGAACACGTTCAATGCAAATGCCTCGATGCAAATAAATCTATTTTAAAAAATTGATTACTACCAAAAAAATAGTTTTTATGATAAGAAAAACATACGGCAAGAAATACAGCACTGTACATTGACAATGAAGCATGTAATGATGGAAATGAAAGTCTAAATTAACAAATATAGAAAAAAAAAAAAAGAAATAATTCAAATATTTAAAAACTTTTTTGTTTCTTACCGAGCTTCTCGTAATAACCCAGTCATATTTTTAGAAAGACATACAAATTCAGCATCAGTTAAACCTTCATAAATGTCATTCAGAATTGTTCAATCAATAATTATTATACATACCCATTCCATTACATGACTTTTGATCTGGATTGCATAAAGTTAAAAAGTAAGGTCTTAAACGTCCAGACATTATTTTTAAAATATCAGTAAGAACAGTTGTTGATAATGCACCAAAAATAAACACAGCTATTGAAAAGAAATTATAATATTTAATAAGAAATAAAGTAAATAGTTAATATATTGATACGTACAAGAATATTTAAGAATACGGGCTAATGATCGAACAAGACATTCTTTAAATCGAACAGAAAAACGAGCTCGATAAGAATTATAGGAAATAAATGAGCGAACAAGTTCAATTATTGAAATCTATATAACAAAAATAAATATATATAATTCTGAGTTGTATCTTGAGAAATTTATAGAATAAAAAAACTTCAGATCTTATCGATACTTACTACAATAATTGGAACAAATAAACATAGAATATAAAGAGTAAGATTTGAAAGTATAATATAGTTTCTTTCTGTATTAGCATCTTCATAAGATTGATAATAACGAGCATCATCACATAAAAATCGTTGTTGTCGAACAGGAAATATTTCCGATGCTCTATAAAAATTAAACTAATTTATTTATGATGAAATTTCTTTGAATATATATACTTACCGAAGAAGAAAAGCTACAACAATAGTAAATACAAGCACGATACTGTCAAGAACAGCTGTAGCCAAAGCGTATCGACCACCATTTCGAATATATTCAGCTGTTGCTTCAGTATAAGGCCCACTTCTAAAATAAAATAAATTCATTAATTAAAATACAATGTTTAATTATAATATAAAATCATACATGCGAGATCGTGTATCCATTGTTATTTTAACTTGTCATAATCGTTTCTATTATTTTACTTTTTTTCTTACTAAAAATTAAATAAGACTAAAATTAAAAGAGAAATCAGTTAACTCACTTCTCTTTTTGTCTCGTTTTTTTTTGACAAATTATTGTCGTTGTCTTAATTCAAATAGAGAATAAGAAGAGAACAAGAGAATAACGATGGCCGTGAAATATTTTCATTTATGCAAACATTCGTTCAATGCAATTTTCTTGAGCACATACATATACTATGCAATAGAATTTAATGTTTATGACGAAATGATTATAGAGAGGACAAAGGAAGACAATCGAGATTTGTTTAACATCATCGATCCGAAAGAAGAAATAAAAGTTAAGACATTAACAAATACTGTCCATCCGATAAGACAAAAAAGGAAAGGAGAGAAACATTCTTGTCTTTTTTCGTGTCTCGAAAAGCTCTGCATTGCCACGGTAAAAAGAATTTCGTTTGTTATCGTTGTGTAATGGTTAAAGAAAAGATGATCATTATCAATCCTCATCCGCTCTTATGTTATAAATCAAGGTGCACATGTACATTTACACAATCATTAACGATAAGAAATGTTTGGAATTTTTTCTTGATTTTCGAGATTATTGAAATAAGAAACAAAAAAGATTTAATGAACAGTTTGAAAGTCAATTGATATTTTTATAGAAGATATTAAACTTTATGCAATAGTTTTATCAATAAACCAAACATATTTTTTTAAAGATTTTTTAAAAAATCAATTAATTGAAAATCCTTAAGGAAAATAATTACCAATACCGTAAATAGTTTTTTTTCATAAAATTGAATATTAAAAGTATAATTCATATGAAATATGAAAAAGATCATCTTGCTTTTAGAAAAAATTAATTGAAAAGCTAGATGAAAAAAATCTTCTTAATCAAGTGAAATGTTAAGCTAAGACAAATTATATACTACTATTGGAGCAATCAAGTTTCAAAAAAGAATGTTCATCTCAAACTAGTGCATTAACTACATATCAAGAGGTGAAAAATTATCTGGTCATCAATATTCTCATACGTAGCATTTATATTGATCATAACAAAGCATACGATCTTGTTTGGAAGAAAGGAGTAATTGCAAAGCTCTAACATACGGAAATGGCCTTGACATTAATAGAACTCATAGTAAATTCGTTGAATAATCAGAAAGCCCATACCTATTTTGGAAGCCATAAAACAAACAACAACATCTACCATCGATGTAGAACTTTCGAAAGGCAGCTCGTTAAGCCTATATATCTTCATTGTTTACCATTCAGACTTTGTACGATGCACTAGGATCTGTTCTACATAAATTTGTGCTGACGATTGATGCACAATTATTACTCTATCAATAGAGAAAAGTTTATCAAAAATGATAAAATATATCAATAAAAAGAGAACAGAAATATTTTAAAAATGTTTCTGGCTACATCTGTAATGTGTAAACAGTCAATCAATCGTAAAAAACGATTTTACGATTGTTTCATTCACAAGTAATACATTGCTGCGTACACAGATATATAAATGGAAGACAACTAGAAACTTCAAGACCATTTCAATCTTGAATGTTTGAATGGACCGATCAACTTTTCTTCTCATTTGACGGGCGAACATTTTACAGAGAATTTCCAAAAAAATTCATGTATAGAATTAATACAGCTGTAAAGCAATAAAGTAGCTACCAATGACATAGTGAGACAATGTTACAGGAAAATTTCTCTTCTTTTTCTTACTATCTGCATCTTAACGAAGGCTTCTAAAACATTATTTCAGAGTACATTTAAGAATAGTACATAAGAGTTTCTTTCATCCAGTACATGACAGCTCATTAGTATTTAAAGGAAGATTTATTTGAATTATATGTGTCAATCTATTTACAGAAACGTATTAATAGATGATTTCGTTTTGATTTCGACGAGTCGTTATTTTATAATGGTTTTTTAAGTGGAAAATTTTCATGAATAGGGAAAGAAAACAAAACAATAGTGCAAAATAGAAGCTAAATTTAGAATATTTGTTTTTTGATTAGTTTGAGTTCAAATGATGATAGAGAGGTGCGAGTCACTTCTAATGTACTGATTTCTATCCATTAGGGATGCACCAGTCCCAGTCCTGACTGGTGAACTGGGACCCAGACACGACTGGGTACTCAGCCATTTGATCTTTAGTCGATTAGTCGAGTAGTACTTTCTTCTTTTCTAATATACTGTCATACAGTGATTCTTAGGCTATTGAAGTACTAATATAAACTATAACATTGAATCCATTGGCTAATCATATATTTCTATGTATCAATCGTTACAAATTAGAATACTATAAATAAATTTCATGTCTTCATTAAACTTTTGCGAGCTATCTATTCAGACATAGTTTTCGTTTATTATCATCTGTTGAGCTATTTTCTTTGCTATAGATAATCCTTCTAGATAATTGATTTCTATAACGGCTTGTTCTAGAAACATGTTTTCTGTAAGATCGATATTGAAATGAAAAATAGAAAAAGCCTGATTCATTTTAATAAACATCAAAACAAATACGATTGACTCATGTATTAAATAAAAGCTTGAAATCAATCAAAATAGTACTAAATCAAAAATTTTAGTCATGAACGATTCGGTTTCGTATTTTGAATTTCAAATTGTATTTTTATTTGGCTGATAGTTCCTAGAAGAATTTTTAGAATATCTTGATTACATTGGAGATGAATACATGTCGAATCAAAGAAAGCATGTCAGGATAGCTCCATTTGGGGCTCAAATGTGGAACTCACCTATCTTCTTTGACTTCGTCACATCAATAGAAAACATAGAGCGTAAAAATTCTTCAGGGTGATCCTTTTTTTTCCCTAATTCTCTCTTGGCAGGAAAGAGCCTTTTTATTTCTATATCTTAACAAGAATTCTTTTTCTTCGAAACAAGCATCTTGTTCTGCACCTTTATTATTGTTAACTTATTTGTGATTTTTCATTGTCCTCATTCTTTAAATTTAAAATTTTCCTTATTATAAGAACTGAATACACTCACAAATNCTTAATCAAGCACGAAAACTCAACGTCAGTATATGTTGTTTTGATACAGCTCAATGTAGAGATCGTCAACACACGTGGCAACTTAACTCTACTCATGTTTACAAACCTCGTACAGGCAATCCAGGGAAAAACTTTCCTTACAAACCAGCAGCGATTATTAGTGCTACTTTTACTGAAGTACTATTTCTCGATTGTGATGCATATGTCACACGAGATCCCATAGATCTTTTTCTTTCTGATCCAATGTATCTCAAATTTGGTGCACTTTTCTTTCCTGATGGTTATCAAAGTCGGCAGCATTCAGCTGTATGGAATTTGTTTAATACAACTTGTGGTGAACATGAATACGAATTGGATAGTGCAGCAATATTAGTTGACAAAAAACGCGTATGGAATGGACTTTATATGACAAATTTAATGAATGCTAATTATGAAGTATTTTATAACGTAATCGTTTTTTAATGATACTAATCAGAATAGATTTACATGTTTTTTGTTGTAGTATGTTACAGATGGAGACAAAGATACATTTCGATTAGGTTTTCGTTATATGGGTGTAAAATATTATCTAGTGATGATACCGTGTGCTGTAAGATATCAAATATTCTAGTCTTGGTGCCAAAATATGATTTACATCGATGATTTTTAAATGTTTCAAGAACAGAAGTAACTATAACCTTGTAATTTTCACCATTCGAAAGAGAAATTTAGAGAAAGTGAAAATTTGGTGAATTTTTTGAACTATATGTTAGTCAAGAAGGTGTCTTTTTGTTGCAAATGTTGACGAGAAGTTATTGAAAAAACTTTCTCAATCAACTATGAATTCCATTTTAGGAAATTGATAGCAATGGCATTTCTCTGATCATCTAGGCGAGGTCAACTCTTGTAGTTTATTTCATTCAGTAGGAATAAATTCTTTACTAAAAACCTTGAAATAGGCCAACTGACCACTGGACACTCTAAATTGTATTGGATTTAGTTCATTAGTCTATGCTGAGCTCGATGGTAGTACTTGTTTTTAGTTTCAATATGGTCGTACGTAGCTAGATCATGATTTTTGTAACTGAGTCTATGCAAAGCTTTTAAGATTAGATGAAGCATTTTAAAGATCTTGTCTTTCTAATGTCAGGCTGCTTCAAAATTAAAGACAAATACCATCATTGTACTCAGCATAGACGAATAGACTAAACTCAATACAGTTTGGAGCGATCAATAGTCAGTTGGTTGACTACAACACTTTTAGTAAAACGTTAATAACTTCTGAATGAAATAATCTAGAAGAGTGAATGTTGTATTGATCGACAGAGAAATGTTTTCGTTATCGATTTCCTAAAATGGAACTCATTGTTAGTTGAGAAAGCTTTTTAGAAAACTTATAATCAAAATCTACAGCAAAAACTCAGCTGCTTAACCAATAATACTCCAAATAATTCGGCAAAGTTTCATTTTCTCACATTACTTTTTCGAATTGTGAAAACTGCAGGTTTCTAGCAATTGTCGTTGTTAAAATATTTAAAAAAATATATCGATATTGCATTATATTTTGACGCCAACAAAATTGTTTATTTTTCTTGTTATTCTTAGACTGGTTCATTTAATGGCACTCACTTTTGTGGTCACTCTCTTTGTAAGACAGATAGTCTCGCACAACATATCTATATTAAGTATGAATATTACATATTTGTATCTTTGCTTATTCTTTGTCCTGTTTTCATTTAATTTAGTCATCTTCATCTTTTCAAATATGACCCAATTAAGTATACATCAGCATATTTAGGTTATACTCGTATTGGTCTTGGCGATCCCAATAATAATTCGTTTCTTTTTGCTCATTGTCGTTTACCTGGAGCACCTTCAAGTTGTTTTCATATTGTGAAAAAGCCTAATCCACAAATTACTGTTCATTCACAATGTTACACAGGTGGAATTCAATCAGAAGACATTGAGGACCATCAATATACACTGAGTGAACCTCTGTTATTTAGCAAATCGAGAAAAAATCGAATATTAATGAGCAAAACTAATAACTTGATGCCTCACTTTCTTGGTAATTTGCTGAAATATCTGAAATAAATATTCATTTTCAAATATACGAAATGAAATCAAGCGGTAATGAATCAGTCATGCAAAGATTATTTTCGATTAAGGAAAGTTATTGACATAATTGAGTAAATTTTTCACTTCCTAACTGATATTTATTTATTTAATAATAACTTAACGTTTCGGACCACAATATCGTCCTTCATCAAAAGAGATTGTACACAAATATAACAGAAATTTTCTTTACATATATATAGTCGAGTTCATACATTTCTTTTCTTTTAATATAATAGTGGTACAAACGATTGAAAAAGTTCATCTTTATCCTGCCAGACTATTACTGTCTTGTCCGTCCACTATTAGATTAAAAGAAAAGAAATATATGAACTCGACTATATATATGTAAAGAAAATTTCTATTTTATATATGCACAATCTCTTCTGATGAAGGACGAGGAAGTGAAAACTTTACTCATATAGAAAGATTAGACAAACAATTTACAAATATATCTATTAATTTTAAATTTAAAAATTTCTAACTTTGAAGAGATGTGGAAGAAATGAAGGAAAAAATATCATTACGTTATGGTTTGACTTTAACAAGATTAACTTCTGATGTTGATTTTATGAATGTAATTCTTTCTTTAGCATATCATTTTTCAAAAATTTTGTAACGTTAGCCCATTTTATATCTCGATTTGGATTAAGAACTTTTCAATAAAATTCAAAATACAAACATAAAGATAGTCTCCAAAACTCTTACATCAATGTCTTTTCAGAAACATTTATTTGTTTGTATTCGAATAATACTAAATGGCTCCAGATTAAATTGTAATTCATTGAATTTTCTACTTCAAAACAATCACAATCAATATTGTCCCGATGTGTTATGTTAATTATTGGAAATACGATTTATATATATATTAATTTGAAGTAATTGAACAGAAGAAGAAACTTGAGATTTCACTTAAATATAAAACGAGTAAACAAATATATTATAAACTCAGATGCAGCAACTTCATATAATTTGTATCAGATTTTCTTATGTTATTTTTCGGATTAAACAATTCAATTAGAGAAATCGAAATAAAATTAATGTAATCAGATAAAGTTAATTTTGAAATGTACAATAAGTTTTACGAATCGCAAACCGACCGGATTAACTATTTTATCGTTTTCAGTCAGGCTTGGAATCGGTCGAAGTTTTTTTAACAAAGCTAGATCGACTAGTTCAATTAAAGAATTCACCAGCGAAATGTCAGAACGTATAAATTAATCTTCTAGTTCTTTTTGAGAGAAAGTCTATTTAGACACCTTCATGAAGACATACAATATGAAACTCATATAACTGTTGAAGTTTATAATAGTAACTCGTTCTATTTTAGTCTGTTGCCTTTCATATACACTAATATTATAAGAACGAAGGAAGAACTCTTTTCATCTACTAACTAACAACAACTGATATTGGACAACATCTATGCTTTGTTTTGCTTGGGTTTTCTTCAATAATGATATAACTTCTTTACAATAACTGATAAGTTTGATGTTTTCTTATTTGAAATCATTACTTGGCACAACTGAAAGGCTTCTCAACTCGTATAAGGTTACTGGTGCTGATAGAAAGACAAAATGAGCTAGAAAGTTCAATATCTTTTCGAGGCTTCATATTTTTTGTTTTCTTTATACCTAGATATTGTTATAATTACACGAGGTAGCAGTTGACAGAAGCTCGACAACAAAGAAGAATCTTTTTTGATATTTATTTAACAAAATTATCAATTGAAACTATTAGCTATGGTGAATTTCTGACAGTCAATTAAAAACAGTTCGACAAAAGTGAGCTCAAAATTTTTGAGATTGAAAATCTTTACTTTATGCTGAATTTAACTTCTAATGGTAGAGTCATTTTTCATGACCATAATCAATATATTCAGCATGATTCGATAGCCCACCCCCTCCCCCCCTGTTGCACTATACGAGAAAGCATAAATTCAAGATTCATAACTGAAATTTTGATGACGGTCAGAAATTTGTTAGTGAGAAATTTTGACACTCATATTTCTGGACCATTAAGATCCTGAAAATCAATAAAAACGAGCAAAACATACTAGCTTCAATGGTCTAAGAATTGATAAAATACCTATTGTTTATATTTCATAAAAACACATGGTAAAAATCAATCGGTCAATCCATTTTAGTATTATTAATACTATTTGTATTTTTTTATACTGTTTATTATCTGACAAAAGAAAATAAACAGAAGAGAATAATCATTCGACAAAATTGAACATTTGTTGTTTCTTAACGAAAAGAAAATAAATGTTAATCAATCAATGTCAATCTTTGTTCTGAATCGTTCATCACAGTAATATCTTTGTTATTTGTAGCTGTTGATCTTTTTTAATTCATCATGTAAACTGATAATGCTCATCAAAGTAAATCTACATTTTGATTAATTGTCTGCTTGGAAGATAACAATAAAATTAACTTTATTAAATTCAAAAATAGATTTGCACAAATTTATCCATAGATTGATCAATCAAATGGAAGTATCTAAAAATATTTCTTCATCATAATTATCTAAACTAAACTAAAATAAAACTCATTATCTCATATTTCAAAATAGCAATGTAGTTATAAATAAAAGAAATGAAAGAAACAAAACGTAAATTGTAATTAAATTCTGATTCTACAAAAATGATCTTATGCAACTTCCTTAAAGAGCAGAAAGACAATAAGGTTTTTCGCTTGTCTAAATGGATTATTTTCTTTAAGAATGTATTCATCAACAACCATTGTTTGTTCTGTTTCTTCATATTCTTTTCATAATTGTATATTTGATATTAACTAAATAATTAATCATATTTAACCCTTTACCCCCCCCCCCCCATTGGCAACTGGAATTGCCATTTTTAGAAACATTGCAAAAAATGCAGAATGCATAGTATCAGAAAACTCTTTACACACTGTGTGTAGAAGATTTCCTAAGCTACCGATTGGCTAAAAAAATATTTTGTATCTTTGCTCTGTCTCTAAGATATACGACTTACAAAAGAGTCGATTATAATATTATAAAAAAAGAATCTCTTCTTTTTAGATTGTTTTTTTTTACCCACGAGAAATATATATCTTGATGACGTGCTGTGCGATAAATATCGACGAATGTTGCTGCTATTGAATAAAATGCGTTTATAAATTTTCACACGAATTAGCTGAGCAAGAGATTGTAGGACATAAAATGGCAACTGAGATTGCCATAGGGGGGGGGGGGGTAAGGACAAGAAAAACAGATTGAGTAATCTTCGTGTAAACGCAAGACTTTTTAATATTTACCGCGAGAGAAGGAAATGGATTCCAGTTGTGTATAAA